AAGAAGCTTCTTGTTGAGATTGAAACCAACGATATCATTGAATCGGCCAAACAGCTATGTGCAACTGTGAACATTACCTTGGACTACGAGGAACCCGTGTATGTTTCCAGACAAGATTCCACAGAATCTGCATGCCCTCACGAGTTCTGTGAACGTCTCAGGGCAGCTTCTGTTCCCATGCTCCTCCAGGAGTTGGAACGACGTTTCTCTGGCGAGAATACCAACGTACTGGCTGCTCTGGAGGCTTTAGATGCGTCAAAATCGACCTACCTAGATTATGCGACCCTATCCAGTCTCGTTGCCAAATTTGGAGATTGTCTCCATATTGACTCTACCTTTCTTAAAACCGAGTGCGAACGGGCGAAGATTCTAATTGCTGCCGGAAAGAACATCGACCCTGAACTGTACCCCAACCTATCCAAGGTGATTGCTATATCAAAGACCTTGCCAGTTGGTACTGCAACCGTGGAAAGAAGCTTCAGTGCTATGAATCGGATATTGAGCTGGGCTCGTAATAGCTTAGACAGTTCATTGGCCAGTGACTTTATGTTGCTATCCATGAGTAAAGACCTGTTAAAAAGAATAAACTTGGACAAAGTGCTTGATCGATGGGTAAATCAAAAATCCCGAATCGTACAGTTTAAGTAAAGACTTCTAGCGCAGCTAGCGCTTAAAACTAATTTAATTTGACTTTTTTTCAGAATTCATAACACTCATTGTGTGACTTGTGAGATTATCAATGTAGAATACTTTTGCTAGTTTTTAGCTTGTTTTTATTAAAACTTACCATTTCGTTTCCTTATATTGTGCTTTCATTTTTCAAAATGAATTATGAAATCTAGCTAAAATATAATTTTAGTAAAATTTTTTGGGGGGGGGGGCGATCGCCCCCCCTCGCCCCCCCTAGTTTCCGCCACTGAATTTGATTAGTTTGCCCACCTTGAACGGGAAAAACAATGTTTCTTGGTTTGCCCATCTTCAGGAAACATGACCAGGAAACAATGTTTCTTGGTTTGTCCACCTTTGGGAAACATGGCTAGGAAACAATGTTTCCTGGTTTGACCACCTTCAGGAAACATGGCTAGGAAACAATGTTTCCTGGTTTGCCGGTCTACCTTTGGGAAACATGGATAAGAAACAATGTTTCCTGGTTTGTCTACCTTTGGGAAACATGGATAGGAAATAATGTTTCCTGGTTTGACCACCTTCAGGAAACATGGCTAGGAAACAATGTCTCCTGGTTTGTCTACCTTCAGGAAACATGACTAGGAAACAATATTTCCTGGTTTGTCCACCTTCGGGAGAAATGACTAAACAATGTTTCCTGGTTTACCCACCTTCGGGAGACATGGCTAGGAAACAATATCTTTCTTGGTTTGTCGACCTTCAGAAAACATGGCTAGGAAACAATGTTTCCTGGTTTGCCCACCTTCGGGAAACATAACTAGGAAAAATGTTTACTGGTTTTCCTACCCTCTGGAAAAAGGGCTACGAAACAATGTTTAGACAGTCAGTGACTGAATCTGAATCATGGTAAAATGATCTTTGGGCGAAACGGACTTCGAATAAAAGGTCCATCTTGAAATTCAAAGTTTGATAAAAACAAGAAACGACGAAAGTTTTCAAAATGATATTTCGAATATAGTACACCTTACCAATATTGTCCACAGGAATATCCAGCACTCCTCTCGACTTACAAATGTCAACAAGCTCGGTCAATTCTGAAGGAGCCACCTTCCACTCTTGGATACGATCTCTCATAGATACGACATTCGATAATCTGTCTTTACTTACTGCCTTATCGCCTTTCTCGTTTTCGTAATGAATCGAATGTAAGCTGGCCTTCTTAGACATACGACGATGGTGGAGGCCACAGAGAATGAGCAGAAACACAGCGAGAGGAACGACAACAGCAATAATGATGATCACGTCTTTGGATAACCCTTCAGATTCACCCATCTTTCGAGGTATGTCTGGAAAAAGAATGGCTATTTTAGCCACACATGGATTCAGCCCGATCTGGGAGGGAGGGGAGGAGGGGAAGGTGTGCTCATCGACCTCGGTCGTAATTTGGCAGGGACGTCGCGAACTCATTAACCTTCAGGGGGGGGGGGAGGGGTCTTGATATTTTGACCAACTTTACAAATGTCTGACTCCATCAAATTCGTGATGGAAAAATCAAAATCTGAATGCTTGTGAGGTGGTTTTTTACAATGTGAAAAGTTCGCGCGCTTTTCCTTAGCGTTTTTGAGTACTACTTTACGGGAAAAAAGTGTCCAACTATTTTGACCAACTATTTTCCATTTTGATCAACTTTTTCAACATAAGAATTATTGGGAGGGAGGTGGTATCCTCCGCCCACCCTCAGTAGCGACGTCCCTGTAGGTTGTGGTGTGACCCCGCCTTGACCAAGTACTGATATCACTGGATGGAGTTATGAGCAGCAATTAATAGAGACCTTACGATTTTAGGACGGCAACGGCTACCAATCATAGATATCTTGCTACCAATACAATAGATCATTGAAAAGAAATGAGTAATTATAATATATGAAATATATGAATAATTTAGACATTGTCCTCGCTCTGTTTACAACGCTAAATCACAGATTTTCACGTCTTGATACAACGGCTGCATTCCAAGCCACAACAAGTGCAACTTCAAACTGGGTTTAGCAGAACTCTTCCCAACCATAAAACCCATGTCTTCAACTTCTAAAACTGTCGGTATTAAATTCATACGATTGACATACACGACGAACTATCTTTACTACCATTTATTTGAAGGAGTTTGTTTTGGCCGTCGCCGTCGCGCCATGCTATATATTTTCGGGCGATACGGTTCGTTTTAGCCGTGAAAATCGAAGCTAAAATTTATGAAATCTCTATGTGATTTGCGCAATGGCGGATTAAACATTCACTACTTTCTTTTTGGAAACTTCGGAATGATAGCGATACAAAGACAATTTCGACGTTTCGAGAATTCGAGCGAAGGCCTTTCGTCGGGTTAGCTATCTAGTAAATCCTTATCAATCCAAAGCATTATTGGCACCGACCTACCTGCCACAGATCGTTCAAGATTTATATTCACTTCTCAGTTTGAAATATTTTGAATATTTTATATCTAGCTAAGAGCTCTTTCATGGCCAGCATTTGTGTCCTGTACTGTGAATGTGGTCATATATATATATATATATATATATATATATATATATATATATATATATATATATATATATATATATATATATATATATATATATATATATATATATATATATATATATATATATATATGAACCTAGACTGACTATTGCTTCACAAAAGTACTTCGTATTTACTAATGCTGTTATTCCTGTTAAGACTCTTACCTAAAAACGGCAGATGTTTACATGTAGTATTCCCCGACGTATCTGCCGCACTTTTCAAATCATTGCATTCGTCAAAACCAAACACATCTCTAGATAGCTGGCCATCGAGTATCAATTTGCCAGCTCCTACAATCTAAGAGAAAGGACAAATATAAAGGCTATATAGTCAGTAAAGGATATATCTTTACAATGAGGAAATGAAAATTTAATTCTGTAGGCTTGTAGCAATATTTGAGAAGTCCCGTCCTACTGTTTCCGCATAGTGTTAAATATTTAACCTGATTAACTGTGCGTAGGTTGACCAGCAGTTTCTGTTCCTCTTTGGTAAGATTGCTTAATTTACCGAGAAAGAATAGTCTTACTGAATCAATTAGTCTCCAACTATACTTCAGTTAGCTAGCATTGTTTATGCTCTGCCAAAGTTTTGGGTTTCTTCCTGTATGGCATATACTGCATGCCAAACCGAGTTGACTGAGTTGTTAATGAAGTATATATTATGCTTTATTTATGGGAGGCTATAATACTGTCAAACTGGAAATTTAGAATCTGTCGAGAGATTTTCGATTAACTTCTTAACTATAATGTGTGTCCATACAAGGAAGTCAACAAAATTTGGTTCCTCATAACCGGGCATGTTTCATGCCAATAAAGATCAGGCTTTTAGTTGTCGAATGATACCTTTCTTGTATCATTGCGATCAAAAATAGCCAAATACGATGCGATTTAAAAATGCCGCGCAAAAACCGCATTTTCCCACCCGTTGAGAATTGCATGTAAGGCTATTGTCTGAATATTGAAACTTTATTCACTATTTAAGTGGAAATAATATTTTGTCATATTTGGAATGTCGAGCTCTTGACCATATACTACTCAAGGACTGAAATGAATTGATACAATTGACCCGCATTGAAAGCTCAAGTTAAACACAGTCTGTATCAGATTAATTCTTTTTTTACTGTATCATCTGAAAAAATCATCAAAAATTATATCAAATTTCTGTAAAAGAAGTTATTTTCCAGTTCTGACCATTCCGTTCAAGCGAAACAATAAGCGGCAATAGACCTTTCTCTTTTTGAGTGAAATTTTGATCTAGACAAGTCTGGACAAAAATTTCATCACAGCTTGAAAGAGCATCACGCAATTAGTAATATTCCGAAGTTTCGTTGCGAAATGTTGTAAAATGCGGATAATATATAAGGCCCTGTTACACGGTGCAATTTTTCATGCAACTTGTCTCGCAATGGCGTTGCGAGACAAGTTGCACGAGTCATTGCACCGCTTAACATGCTTTGCAATGGTCAAAATCTTTGCGAAACAAGTTGCATGAAGCATTGCAGAGAGTAGAAGTCGGTTCTACTTTTGGCAACGATTGCACTAATTATTTTTAGCATTGCAGCGTGTAACATGGCTTCGTGCAACTTGTCTCGCAATGTTTAATTAATGCTAGGAGAGTTCCTATTGGCTCTCCCCAGTACACGCTTTACTTTACTGATTAAAATTTGGCGCCAAATAGCGCCTCTCCCTATTCTCTTCGCATGCCTCTGTCCCGTATCGTTGTGAGTTGCATAAATATCATTGCAGCGTGTAACACCTCTTGCAATGCATTATCAAAATCTTTTTTTAACATTGCGAGACAAGTTGCATGAAAAATTGCATCGTGTAACAGGGCCTACAGCCCTGCAAAATTTGCAATTTTCAGTCATTTTGTATTACGCACTGGAAATTGATAATCAGATGATCAAACTGATTATCAATTTCCCATTTGTAATACAAAATGACTGAAAAACGGCAAACTTCGCAAGCCTATATTATCCGCATTTTACAACATTTCGCAACGAAACTTCGGAATATTACTAATTTTGTGATGCTCTTTCAAGCTGTGATGAAATTTTTGTCCAAGCATATCTAGATCAAAATTTCACTCATAACCCACCGGGCACACGACGTTGTTTCAACGTTGAAATTTGGTAGAAAAAAAGGTTGCGACGTTGACAACCTAATATCTACGTTGCTCTGACGTTGTTTTACAAACATTGGTTCAACAGCAGTCAACAGACGTTGAATTAACGTTCATTCATGATTAAATGTACGACGTCGATTTGTGAACTAATCTCAACGTTGTTTTAACGTGGATTCAACGTTGAATTATGGTTGACGAGATTGGCAACCTAATTTCAACGTTGTTTCAACGTCGAATCAGTAACGTCGATCCAGTTTGCATAGTCAACCCTTTTTCAACGTCTATCCAACGTCTGGAAGGTCATTTCAAACGTTGATTCAACGTTGGATAAAAGTCATTTTTCCCTCTGGGAAGGGGAAAGGTCTATTTTGCAATCAGGTCACCTTTTAATACCGCTAAAAATGTGCGTTTTACATACGCTTACCTAATTACATACTTATTCTAGACTATTTTATCTTTACAACAATTGTGATATTATATACTTTCCATCCTAAACCCACCCTGGCATGCACCCTGTCAACTTTCCCTGTGGGAGGAAACCGCTCCACCGAAGTATCGCGGTTTACCACCCTGCGAATCCATGTGTAACCTTTAACGAAACTTACCTGGTTCAACCCATCACCGCAGATTTCAAAAAGATGGTTGCAATCTTCACGACAGTACTCTAACTTCGTGTCTTGCGCTGAACAAAAAGGAAATACGAAAAAGCACGCAGTTTTTTTTAAGGTCTCTTTACACGAGTTATCTTTTTTTTTCTCGTAAATCGATTCGACAGCTTTTAGTAATCGCACTGCAACGCGCTCTGTTTCGTTCATACCCAGCGATGAATTAATATGACGATGTTCTGTGGAGTTCAAACGTGAGCTGCAGATGCCATTGTAATGTTGACACACACCAGTGGGCGAATGCATCCTGAAATAGCCAAGGAAATATTATTTAAGGAAGTATTATTTACTTTATAAAGACAAATAATCTAAACATGGATAATTTTAATATTAAGGGCGTGTTCACATGAGTCCAACTGAACGGGTAACTCAACGCATTTCATGAACTTTATAGTGTTAACACCGCTGACCGCGCGGTGAAACTTCTGCGTATCGACTACTTGTACCACTGACTTGTACTCGAATCGAAAGACTATATAGTATTTTTTTGTCTTTATACGAAGCTCTGGCAAAAAGTGTAAAGAAAATTACGAGATTTTCTTTTCTGTGTTGGTGTTGTGTACTCAGGTGAACATGATGCTTGTGACGTTATTCTGAGTGTGTATCCACACCGGGCAGGCATTGGGCTAGTATTTCAAAGGTCGTAGGTTCGATTCCCACCGTGGCCAGGCATATTTTTCAAGCCTGCCCGGTGTGGATATACCGGATATACACTCAGAGTGACGTCACAGGCATCAAAATTACGAGAGTTTCAACTCAGTATAACTGCAGCCTTGGATAGTGTTTTATGTCAAGTCGTAGGAAACTCGTGTTCTTCTATACTATTCCGGTAGACATTTTTCCCGCCATATACGTTTGACCGCGGTGGTTCGCTTGGTGTCTGTAGACCCCATATCACTCAAATATTGGCTACCTTCGCAAAAATAAGATCTACAGCCATGATTCAAAGAGCGTATAAAATCATGATTGTTAATATTTTAGTTTCACTTACGTAGCCACTTGGGTTTCTTGTAAACCTAGAAAGTGTAAAAATGAAAATTAGGTATGCAAGATTTGAAATTCACAAATTGTAATCAGAGATAAACCGGGAAGTATATATTATGCTTTATGCATGGGAGGCTAATACTCAGTGAAACAGGAAATTTAGAATCTGTCAAGAGATTTTCGATTAACTTCTCACTACTATAAAGTGCGTGGACTCCATACAAGGAAGTCAACAAAATTTGGTTCCTCATAACTGGCATATTTCATACCAATAAAGATCAGGCTTTTAGCTGTCAAATGATACCTTTCTTGTATCATTGCGATCGAAAATAGCCAAATTGACGAGTCGGTGACGACGCCGCTCGAAATCGCATTGAAGAGACCTTTCCCCTTATAACTAAAATTTTGATCTAGACAAGTCTAGACAAAAATTTCATCACAGCTTGAAAGAGCATCACAAAAATAGTAATATTCCGAAGTTTCGTTGCGAAATGTTGTAAAATGCGGATAATAGAGCCCTGCGAAATTTCATGCAATTTTTTGATGCCCCAACACCCGATTGGGCTGTCAATTTCGTAATACAAAATGACGGAAAAACGGCAAACTTCGCAAGGCTATATTATCCGCATTTTACAACATTTCGCAACGAAACTTTGGAATATTACTAATTTTGTCATGATGCTCTTCAAGCTGTGATGAGATTTTTGTCTAGATCAAAATTTTAGTTATAAGGGGAAAGGTCCATTGCATGTAAAGCTATTGTCAGAGTATTGAAATTATTCTCATTAGTACCTTACGTTTACCACTTGTAACGTCTGTGACACAGGTTACAAAAATACCTGGACGGTCAAAATAGTGGCAAACCATTTTTCTTCAAAATATCCTCATTACAGATTTACGAGATTAAGGAATGAAGCCACGTTTACGGCAGTATATATACCGCTTTCCATAGCTGCGTGAAAAACTTCAATGATCTGGTTTTTGCACTTCACTCGGTAATAATTGAATGCTGTTTTTAGGGTTTGTAATCCAAGTGAGTATATATACACTTTAAGACCTGACCAGGAACGACTGCGAAAAATGCAGCACAAGGTCCTCCGTGATAGGAATTGAACCTATACGGCTTGCACCGGAATCGCAGGACCGTAGGTTGTCTAGGTTCAATTCCTACCAGAGGACCTTGTGCTGCATTTTTCGCAGTCGTTCCTGGTCAAGTCTTAAAGTATATATATATATATACCGGCACTTGGATTACAAACCCTAAAAACAGCACTCTAATTTTACCGAGTGAAGTGCAGAAACCAGATCAATGAAGTCCACCTTATCACAACCCGCACACCCGATCACCTATATAATATACATGAACCAATACGGTTATAGCTCAACAGCTAGCCTCTGTAGCTCAGTTGGTTAGACTAGCACTGCACTGGAATCGCAGGGCCGTAGGTTCAATTCATACCAGAGGACCTTGTGCTGCATTTTTCGCAGTCGTTCCTGGTCAAGTCTTAAAGTATATATATATATATATACCGGCACTTGGATTACAAACCCTAAAAACAGCACTCTAATTTTACCGAGTGAAGTGCAGAAACCAGATCAATGAAGTCCACCTTATCACAACCCGCACACCCGATCACCTATATAATATACATGAACCAATACGGTTATAGCTCAACAGCTAGCCTCTGTAGCTCAGTTGGTTAGACTAGCACTGCACTGGAATCGCAGGGCCGTAGGTTCAATTCATACCAGAGGACCTTGTGCTGCATTTTTCGCAGTCGTTCCTGGTCAGGTCTTAAAGTGTATATATACTCACTTGGATTACAAACCCTAAAAACAGCGCGGTGAAAAAATACCTAGTCCAATACTGAATGTACAACTTTCAGAAGCTGAGCGAAACAACATCTCTCCGTTGCAATAATTCCTCTGAACTTCCAGTTTTGTAAAATGTTTTAACCACTCAATTTCGATGCAAAATTGCGAGAGGAATTTACCAAAACTTGGTGCTTATATACACGCGTTGTGCCATCTTTATTCAAGCGACATTTGAATCCCAAATTGTAAGGTCTGTGACATTACAGGCTGGTAATTTTGCAGAGAATTAATACTCTATTAACATTATTTTAGGAAAAATAAAAAATTTTGGACTTCATAAGCTTGTCCAGCATCATTGAACGTTTGAAGGTAAGATTTTTTTGTTTCAGGAAATTTGAAAGTCTCACTAAATATTCCCTATGTACAGGGGACATTTTGCGGTTTTTGCCTGAAGCGGCATACATCCCATTTGTTATACATTCACGATCGCTTTTTGTTCACGTGATGATTATGTTTTGTTCACATGGGCACATGGCACCCATGCTGAAAATGGAACATGATTAGCCGCCTCCTTTTTTAAGGTCCAAATTTCAAATCATATAATAATCGTATGACACCTAAAGGTCATATCACTGCACGAGACAATTTCTGTTGCAGAGTACCATGTTTTCTAAAAAGGAGTCGAAGACTACTAAAGGCTTGTTTATTGACTATCAAAGTTTCTGTGATCACAGTAGGAATTTTGCATCGGTAAATTATAAGTTTTGAAACATGTGTAAGAAATCTTTGAGGGAGCTGACTCCGTGACTCGCTGTTTTAACACGGTTCCCTCAAGCATAGTTTCTTACAAATCCTTCAAAACTTATAGAACTTATCTATGCAAAATTCCTACTGTGATCACAGAAACTTTGATATAGTTTCTATATATTGCAATTTCTAGATATGTTGTTTTTCTCAGTGCGGTGCACTACTGAGCAATGTCGCCCAGTATGAGTTTTGTCTTGATGTACGTTTCATCTCAACTGCGCATGTCGGCACGTCGTGATACTTAGAGAGTCGCGAGAATTTTGCTGTACATTGTATAAGATTAAGTCCAACACTTAAGCAACAAAGAATGTGCAAACGTTTCGTAATTTCTTGCTATTTGCAAAACGACCACTCGGTAAACAACCCGCGCGCAATTAGCTGCAGTTCTCTTGACCTCGTGTCAACATCTTGATGCGAAAAATAAATCTCGAATGGCACGTTTTAATTAAACGTGGCGTGATGTGTTTACCAACGTAGATGTGTAGAACTGTTTCGTTCGTTAAGAAAATTCCTTTTATTTTCTCCCGAATTATTCCAATTCGTGAATTAAAGTTGTCCTAGTATAGTTTCCTAGATAAATAAAACTCGAAATCTGATATTAAAATTGAGGGGTAATATTCGATGAAAACGTCGCTTTGATCGTTACGATCAAAAACGAAAACAGATTTTTTTATTTGAAATCTGACCAAGAGCATGTTTTGGTCACAAGTATGGACTTTGGAGTTTGGAAAGATGTTTATTAATGCTAAACTTCCTGATCAGCTACTAATTCGCCGATAATTATGTCCATGTGTTTAATATTTGAATTATAAAGCTTTTGAGTTGGAACGCACTTTTGATATTGTAAAATATACTAGCTATACTAACCAAAGTTGGCAAGTCGAATGAAAACTTAAAGATAACATAGTCGTATGCAGTTGCAGTATCTGTGTTTACTGCGCAGTTGTTTTCACTTAAAACGAAAACGAAAGCGTCATAAAAACCCCGTTGCCTGTTATTAAAACATACAGAGAATGTGAAAATTGTTACATCTCACATTCAGATGCATATGTGAACTTTAATTGTAACAGATTCAAAGTATTAAGTTTCAATGCTGTTGTAACCTTATGCAGTCTGGTCATGCAGTCTGTAAACATGCCAAAACATAGTCCTTGACTATGACTATGACTATGACTACAGAACACCAGTAAAGTGTGAATCCCCTCTCTGTGAATGCTGTAGAGCATTTGAGCTCGCATTTGAGAACATAGATTTATTCTTTAATCCGTCTACATATGTTTGCATGTTTCATGTAATTTTGATTGGAAAAATAACACTAGGGTATCAAAAATTTGAGAAATTCCAATTCAGTGTGAAAGGTCATAAGCCTAAGTTTCTGTTTCAGGCTTTTATATAAAGGACTACAATTGCTTGCGCATTTTCAAGGCACGCCAAAGTTCACCTCAGCTTTGTTTTCATTTCCACGCACAGGACTAGGCATGCAACAAAAAGATCAACACAATCCCGGAATGGCGAGCTATCGTCAAGTCAAATGAACACTACTGCGTGCACGTAGACGGTAGATTTACAAATCATCGAGACACTTACTTACAGAATGGTTATTTATGGCGCGGTTGAAGTCATTTTAATAGCGCGCGCATATTTAGCCTTTGTCATTCGTTGACAAATGTTGCAAAACTGCAACATGACATATCAAGGTCAAACTCACCCCAGAAGGTAACTGGGTATTTTAGCAACAGACATAGATGGTATAACCTAGATTATGCATATTTATATACCAGCCAATGAATAAAACATATATTGAAGAGACGTCGCGTCTTTATTCTTGACTGAAAACAAGTCAAAGAGTTTTTTTTCCAACTAATATTGCATTGTGTACATTTGTCTCGTGATGATTTTATTTGTAAAACAAAACCTGTCTGGCGGTCAAATACCTATGCTATAGCTTTCCTAAAACCATTAGAGATTGGCATACTGTATCAAAGTCCCGTAAAATTAGCTCTATGGTCTGACCATTTGACCATATGTCCATATTAGTTGGCGAAGTTCAATTGTAAACATACAAATCAGGCCAGTAATCCCTAAATTGCAAATGATGAGACATTAATATACCCTGTGACTTACCCATAACTATGCAAAGCAATAACATAGACAGCAATGGCTTGTAGGTTAATCCCATACTGGCCACCATCTCTTCTACCCTTCTCATTTCAAAGACTACGTACTTTAGACTTCAGCATGTATCAAAGCAGGCGGCATTGACAACTAGTTAACGGAAGTAAGCATCAGCTTCGTAGGGCAAAGTGTTTCTTTTGAAAGGAAAGCACCCTGCGGGATACAATATAATTGGGGGTGTGACTACCGAGTATTCTCAAAACTGGTTTGAATGTGAAAGTAGAGTTATTTGTCTTTACAGTAAAAACCAGCAAAAAAGAACCAATAGGTTGAGACCTATCACCACCAGCCTTGAAATTCAGGCAGTTGAGCACCAAAGCCAACAAACACTTCAGGCCGACAAGTGACACAGCTGGTTCTTAAAAAAAAGCTTTATAATGCTGGTTGTAAGGGCAGGTATAGGCAGGCATTGGCAGATTCATGCTTGATTTAGCACCATTGCAAATCTCGGCAAATGCAGAAACTTAAGCTGTTGTTTGGTACTCAACAACAACGAGGATACTACTACAGTACAATACAATGCAACACAATACTTTATAGAACGCTCTTCAAAGATCGAGGCTTTTCCGAGTCAATTACATAAAATCATTCTAGACTATATTTTACTGTATAAAGAAGCGAACTATGCTGTAATATCTTTCAAGGAAGATATGAGGAAAAAACAAAGAAAAATCATAAGCGTGTCGTATTTTTATATGTGATAGAGATTTCCTTTGATTTACCGCCTCATAAACTTTAACTTTGTCTTTGATTTTCTCGACTTATACAACGTATTTTTATTACTTCGCCAGTGAACTTACTAGATCGATCGTTTTTGAAGCAATTTAAAACATTTGCAGTGATATCTGATAAAACACTGCTGCTCATGTTTTAAATAGTACTTAAAGATAATACTAATAGACTGTTCTGCTTTATACTGCGCCATCATTGCCCGGCCCCCTATGACCTCTCGTTTTCCATTTGACCTATTTGCTCATGTTTTAGGTTTGTGATTAGGTTGTAGATTAACCTGAAGTTCAGGCCCTATCACAGAATAGGGCCTGACACAAAACCTATCTAAAGTGTGGGATTCCCGTCCACCTGGTGGACGGGAAATCTGATTGGTTGATCAGCATCATGAAGGATTTTGATTGGTTGCAAGTTCACATAAACAACAGTTTTAAAAATAGCTCGGCCAAGGCGAGAATTAATATAAAGGTCAAACGCACGTAACAAATTCCATTATCGATTTCTTCGAATTTCTTTTCTTTTATGCTTTATGGAAGAAAATAAATCAAACAAACAGTATTTTGAAAGGGCTTCATCAAAATCTTTGACGAATTTTGGACACATACGACGCTGAAAGAACAGCCAAACTAGTCCTGTATTCGAAAGCTTGTTGTTGACAGCCAAGATGTTCTGCCAACTTGCTTCGCCGGCAAAAGTCTTATTTTTAATATCAGGTCCTACCGGCGTTGTTTTCTGAGCTACATCGCCTTCTTCGTGGTACGATTGAGAATTTTATTTTATATATATATATATATATATATATATATATATATATATATATATATATATATATATATATATATATATATATATATATATATATATATATATATATAGTATATATATATATATATATATATATATATATATATATATATACAATATATATATATATATTAGGGTAGGCATGTAACCATTTTAAAATATACATTCAACGAACCACCAAGAACTGAACATTGTTCAGTATAATATCCCAACAAAGGTTTGTTTGTTTGTTTGTTTGTTTTAGGCTTAGGACGACGAGTGCACGCGCGCAATGCTTTAATGCTTTAATGAAATAAAGCATAATAGTACTCCAGCAACCTCGTTCCCAGGGTCTCTCCTTCTGTCATCTGGGAGAGACCCTGGCTGCGGCTGGTCACGTGCCTCCCAGATTCTGGGAGGTAAATTTAATTGTAACTGTGAGAGGGGTGGGAAAGGAGCGTGTTTGTAGAGTTTTAAAATTGCAACTTTGGCTGATGAAATTTACTGTAAATTTGCAACAAGAAATTGTAAAGAGAACTCTTAAATTAATATTTATATCGTGACGTTCTACTCTATAATCTGGTGTCGAGTTACAATTCAAGCAAGTTGGATCAGATTTCATTATAGACTTGCCAAAGAAAGCACGCTTGCGGCGGCTTGCCACTTGTGCAGCGTGGCAATATTTATAAACCTACAAGAAAATATATCCAGACAGAACAGTGCTATTTATTTAGTATTAAAGTCTATCCTGATACTCGGACCAAAAGAATTTATATATTGATGAGATGTGGAATTGCAGCGAAATAGCGAGATCTTTTGATTTCCGAAATATCGCCAACTGTATCCAGATTGTTGATCTATATAAAGGCCTTATCAAAAAAACTTAAAGCCCGTCAAAAGACTATAAAATTGGCCCTTGGCATTGCTGAAACCAACGATCATGGTATATGTCAAAGTATACATGTAGCTGTCTGTTGAAAATCTACGGTATTAAAATCATACACCAAAGATAAGTCAAACGACAAATTATATGTCACTATATTATACATGTCTTTCAATGAGCACTCTTTAGTAGTGTTCACCACCTTTATAAATTTTGTAAACAGCTTTCGTTTTGACATGAATAAGCTTTAATTTTTTGCTGTATATGCATTCTTAATAATACAAGTGAGTTTTAAATTTTTGCTTTGACTTTGTGAAATAGAATACCGTTATTTTTTAATGGACAGCTTGCATCGTCTATATCATATCCAGGATTGCTTGTGTGTAAACGCATTATTCAGTATATGACACTATCAAATAAATATAAGTAGTAAATGATTAATGAATTAGAGATAAACAGGTGATTCAAAATGAAAACTTTAAAAATGTTAGTAGAAGTAGGCTAGAAAATACTCGAAAATTTATGTCTATTCGTATGATGCCAATGACGGTCTGTGCGCATCTGACACTGTAAATTTGTGATATAGATTATAGTATGTTAACACAATATAATGAATAATAGAAACCAAAAAGGGCTAAAGTCTTACTATAATTACCGAATACGAATTATCAATTATGTACTAAATCCAGATAAACTAATGACTGAAATTTCCTCTATACTTATAGGCATTTCTCTGTTCGGCTATTATCAAATGTTTACATTTGCTAATATTGGGTCAGTCCTAGACAATACTGTTTCTTTTAAAAATCTTATAAACAAGACGCGTAGTAACAAGTGAATCGGTACAAAGCGTATCAACGTTTACAAGAAAGGACGAATGTAATGGCGTATTTTAAAAACATTACAATATTAAAAGGTTCGTTATAACCGCGCTCGATTGTGAAGAGAGCATGCATTGAATAACAACACGAGAGAGCACGTACTGCGACTCTGCGAGTAACGATTTGCTTTGTTTCTTGACTTGACTGTAAGTAAGAATGTAAGAATGTTCTTGTAAATTCAAAGCAAAGAAAATAAACAAGTATTTTGAACGTAATAATTCGCAAAATTTATGTTTTTAACGAATATTCCACTGGAAGCATGTTTATGTAGTTTGATACTTTCCCCACACCCCGTCAGGCGCTAAATTTTTGATGAGGCACGTGACCAGCCGCAGCCAGGGTCTTTCCCAAAGAAAGATCCTGGGTACGAGGTTGACTTCATTTCTCGTCGAAAACAAAAAACAGAAAAAGAGGGATTTAAGACACTTGGCCTACAGGCCAGTGTAATAATGGCACTCCTTGCATGAAACGTTAATTTATCCCAAAGTTTGAATAAATTAATCCAAGATTGCATTATTTTGCGTAATAATGTACTTATCATTGACCAATCAGAATACATAGAAGACCGGCCGGTGCCAGGGCCTTTTCCCGCCTTCCCAATGACAAAAAGGGAAAAGCCCTGGGAACGAGGTTGACGAACCTCCAAAGTATAAACTAGGGGCCGGTTGATGCAGTAATTATCAAATAACAGTTAAACTCTTATATACCCGTTGAATATGTATAGTTGTAAACAAATAAAAACTATCGTTCTATGTAAAGGTTCAAAACTTTCAGTTTGGTTGTTGACTGATGATGAATCTATAGTATAGACTTGCATGCTTTGTATTTTGAGCTTATTAAGGCAGCTAAACGGGCTTGGTTTATATTAACACATAAAATAAATTCCTTGATTCTCATCACT